TGTTTTTTTTATCCATTTAGCTACTCTGTGTCTCTTGACTGGGGTGTTTAATCCATTCACATTTAAAGTGATTACTGATGAGAAAGAACTTACTTTTGCCATTTTGTTATTTTCTGCATGTCTTATAGCGTTTTTTTATCCCTCATTTCCTCCATTATTGCTTTCCTTTGTGTTTAATTGATTTTTTGTAGGGACAATTTTGATTCCCCTCTTATTTCCTTTTGTGCATATAGTCATGCTACGTTTCAGGCAATGATGGACCACATATATGACAGTTGTCCCATAAGATTAGTATCATATAGCCTAGTTGTGTAGTAGACTGTACCATCTGGGTTTGTGTAAGTACACTCTGTGATGTTCCCACAATGACGAAATCGCCTAACCACGCATTTCTCAGAATGTATCCCCATTGTTAAGTGACGCATGACAGTATTCTATAGATATTTTCTTTGTGGTTACCGTGGGAATTACGTATAACATGGTAAAGTTATAACAATTTTTCTAAAATTTGATACCAACTTAACTTGAATCTGATATAATAACTTCACTCCCTTACATCTCCACCTCTCCCACTTTGTTTTTGATGTCACAGATTACCTCTTTGTGTACCCATCAATATAGACTTATAATTATTTTTTTAATGCATTTGTCTTTTAATTCCTTTAGAAAATAAAAATGGGAGTTGCAAACCAAATGTACAGTAATACTGGTTTTTATATTTGTGCATGTGTTACCTTTACTGTATGGTAAAGGTACACTTATGGTGTCCCATAAGTCCCTTAGGCTCTGTTCACTTTTCTTCAGTCTTGTTTCTTTCGCCCCTCTGACTCAATAATTTCATTGTCCTGTGTTCAAGTTCACTGATTCTTCTGCCTGGTCAAATCTGCTATTGAGACCCAATTAAAAAATGTGCAGAGGATCTGAATAGACATTTTAACAAAGAAGGCATACAGATAGACAACAGGCACATGAAAAGATGTTCAACATGATTAATTATTAGGGAAATACGATTCAAAACCACAAGGAGATATCACCTCATGCCAGTTAGAATGGCTATTATCAAAAAGACAAGAAATAACAAGTGTTGGCGAGGATATAGAGAAAAGTGAACCCTTGTACACTGTTGCTGGGAATGTAAGTTGATGTAGCCACTATGGAAAACAGTATGGAGATTTCTCAAAACATTAAGAATAGAACTGCTGTATGATCCAGCTATTCCACTTCTGGGTATTTTCCCAAAGACTAGGAAAACATTAATTCGAAAAGATATATGTACCCACTCTGTTCATGGCAGCATTATTTACAATAGCCAAGATATGGAAAAAACCTGAGTTCCCATTAGTGTAGGAGTGGATAAAGATGTGGTATGTAAAGACACAATGGAATACCGCTCAGCAATATAAAACGATGAAATATTGCCATTTGCAACAACATGGATAGACCTTGAGGGTATTATGCTAAGTGAAATAAGTCAGGTGGAAAAAAGACAAATACCATATGATTTTACTCTTATTTGGAAGATGAACAAAAAATTAAAAAATGTACAAAGAAAAAATAAAAATAAATAACATAGATATAGAGAAGAGATTGGTGGTTACTAGAGGGGAAGGGGTTGAGGGGAGGGCGAAATGAAAATGGACAAAGGGGCTCAATTGTATGTGACGGAAGGAGACTAGATTTTGGTGGTGAGCACGCTGTAGTGTATACAGAAATTGAATTATGATGTTGTACACATGAAACTTATATAATGTTATCAACCAATGTTAGCTCAATTTAAAAAAGAAAAAAACCTGCTGTTGAACCCCTCGAGTGAATTTTTCAATTCAGTTATTGTATTTTTTAGCTCCACAATTTCTGTTTGGTTCCTTTTTATAATTCCTGTCTCTTTGTTGATAGTCTCATTTTGTTGTCATATGTTGTTTTCCTGATTCCTTTTGGTTCTTTGTGTTTTCCTTTAGCTCTTTCAGCATATTAAAGTCTGTTGTTTTAAAGTCTTTATCTGATACTTCCTTTGCCTTTGTTTCTTCAGGGACAATTTCTACCACTTTTTCTTCCATTGAATGGGCCATGTTTTCCTATTTCTCTGTGTGCCTTATGATTTTTTTTTTTTCCTGAAAAATTGGGCATTGAAAAAATAGCCACCTCTCCCAGTCTTCGCGTACTGGCTCTGTGCCGTGAAAGACCTTCACTAATTAATGAGATGTGTCTGAGCCTTGGGGTCAGCCCCGGGGTGAAGGCTTAAGGTCTTCTCAGGGGTTTTTCTGAGCGTGTATCTTTCCTGGGCCTGTGTGTGTGCTGTTTTCAATTTTCCCATATACCTGGCTGCTTTTAAATGTCTTAATTTCCCAAAGAGTCTCACTCAAGCTGGTCCTTGGGCCTTAGATGTTCTGTTGTATCTCCCCCACCCCCACCCTCTGGCCCCAGGCGTGGGCGGGTCTGCAGTGACCTTGTGGTTTTCACAGCTGCTTTCCACAGCTTCCCCCCCCACCCCCACCCGAGCTCTGAGCCCCAAGGCAGGCTAACAGAGACCCAAACCTCGGCAGCCCCACGCCTGGTTCTGGTTCGGTGTTGCCTAGAGGTCTGCTCTATTCCCTCCTGTTTGAGGAAAGGAACTCGGAGCCAGGCTGCTGCTTTCAGACCATTTCGCGCGGGAGTTGGGCAGGAATGAGTAAACCCACAAAACATCCTACTATCCTGAATGTGACTTGCTCTTGATTGGGCATTTGCTTGGTGGCTGTAAATCTTTGTTTTCCAGAACTCCCATAAAATATTTTAGCCAGTTCAATTTTTTTTTAACATTTCCTTGGGAAAACGAGGGCTGAGAGCTCCCTATTCCACCATCTTGCTCATGTCCTCTCCCCATTAAAGGATTTTAAATGGGGAGGTTTTTGTGTGTCTGGTGACAGTATGGAAGGTGGATGGAGGTGGAGGAGTATCCTCCACCATTCTAGATAAGGGCCTGTGTTCCAAGCTGGGCTGCAGTGGCACAAGACAGGCTAAGTCCCTGCCCTTGGGGCTCATGCCGTAGAGGGGACACAGACCTTCAGGAACTAATCCCACAAACACTGGCATCATTACAGATTATGGTAGTGCTGGGTCAGAAGGGGGCAAGGAGCTCAGAGAGAGCATAACAGGGGTGGGGGGTGTTCAAGTTGGGGGCAGTCGGGGAAGGTGGGGACAATAATGTTTCAGCTGAGGCTTAGGGATAAGGACAAGGAAGCCAGGTTGGTGGATGAGCATTCTGGGAATGGGTAACTGTGTGTGCAAAGGGCCTGAGGCAGGGAAGAGCTGAGTTCTAGGGCCAGAGAGACACACTGGGTTCTTGGAGCACCATGAGCAAGGGCAAGAGAGGTATGCGATTAAGCTGCAGAGGCCGATAGGGGCCATGCCCTGGCGGGGGGTGTGACATGATTCTGAGAGCAGTGGGCAGCTCCCGAGTGCAGTAAGACCCAAGAGAGGCCCCAACTCAGGCAGGAGCAGGGGCCGAGGAGGGAGAGTCTTAGCAGGGGGAGGCTTGCTCCTCCGTGCCTGCCAAGAGAGCCTTTCCCACAGTCCTGCGTGTGGTAGATGCTCAGAGAGGGTGATTTGTCCTGTGCCTGCTCAGGCTTGGGTGGCGGGCCACTGGCGAGGCCTCTCCCCTAGGCAGGGGCGCAGAGAAAGCCATAGGTGTAGACAGTGCTGGTCTGACCTGAGCTCTGGGGGCTTGAAGGCATCCAGGTGTGGCTGCAGGGTGAGACCAGAAAGGAGGGACCACGGAAGGCCTGGACTCCGTGCTCCCCTGCCAAAGGCCACTTTTTTTCCATTTCTCCTCCACCCCGACGGCCTCGAGTTTGGCGTGGGGGCCACCACAGGCTTGCCCCCTGCACTTCTAGCCCTGGCCCCTACTTTTCCCCTTCCTAGACAGTGTAGTCACTCTGTCCTCCAGCACTCTTGTCCATCACTGTCCCTGGTTCCAAGGGGACATTACCTCCTGCTGTCCTCTGTAAAGCCAGCATTCGGTATGGATGCTCTCTGTGTCCTGCTCTGAGCGCATCGCACACGACATTGTATCCCCAAACAGCAGCATGAGGCTTTCCTGTGAGTGGCCCCACCTTACAGATGAGGAAGGAGGCCAGCCTCCTGCAAGGGGGTAACTTGCGCACGGTCACACGCTGCTGCAGGCGGAGCCGGCACCGCCTCCTGCTTTCACCCCGGCCCTTCCCTGTCTTCTTCCCCACGAGTGTCCACTCCGCCTACCACGACTGACAGAGATTGAGAGATGGACAGATGGGTGGGCAGTTCCTGAGGGCGGGGGGAGCCCTGAAGACCAGGCATTTCGGTCTCCTCCTTTGAGCCTCAGGTTCCTACATGGTGCCTTGCACTAGAAGCTGCTAATAAAACTTGAGCAAATGCTTCCATTTTGGGGGTGCATTGAACCAAAAATAATGATGCTGAATTAATTTATTTTGCTACTTGGGTAGAGTTTTTATAGGCTTTGAGAGCACACAGGCATTATTTCCTCCTTGGCAGCAGTGTGCTATATGAGTGAAAAGAGATGTCTGTTGTGGAAATTCCAGGACAATGAGCTGTGTTTCTCCTGTTTGTCTGGGGCCCTCTGTAGTTCCCAAGGGACAGGATTTTAAACCTTTTGAAAAGTAAATTACCTACATGAGAGAAAAAGTGAGAATTGAAAGAATCGATTGGATACACGTTTCTGATACCTTGAAAGGCTTGGGACACATTTACACGTGGCTTTTTAAAATAGCAACTAGTCCAAAGCCATTTGCCTGGAGCAGCACTTAGAGGGGAGCCCGCTTAGCCTGTGGGTCTGTGTCCAGGTCAGCCCCTGAGGACCTGCAGCCTTGGACAGGTGACCTTGTCTTTATAAACCTCAGTTCCTCTTCTGTAAAATGGGAATCACACCTTCCAGAGTCATTTTGAGGATCAAATGAAGCTTCTGATTCCACAGGAAAGAAGGCAGACCAGTTTCTGATTGAACGTCTTGTCCCTGAGCACAGGGGTTTCTCACTTACCCTGGAACCACGGAGCCTAATGTGTTTTCCTGCCTCTCCTCCCTTTCTGCCAGTATCTGTGGCACAGTCCTCAGCACACCAAGAAATGAGAAAAATACCAAGTAATGGGAATCTGAAGATGACGAAGGTGGCGTACCCCCTGGGACTGTTTGTGTGCCTGTTCATCTATGTCGCCTACATCACGTGGCACTGGGCCTCCGCCACCCAGGCTTTCTTCAGCATCACCAAGGCGGCCACAGGGCCCTGGAGGGGCCAGCAGGCCCGCAGTCCGCTGGGGACGGCTGCACATGGTCACGAGGTCTTCTACGGTGTCATGTTTGACGCAGGAAGCACTGGCACCCGCGTGCACATCTTCCACTTTACCAGGCGGCCCGGAGGTATCCCGGGGCAAAAAGCCCTGGCCATGCATGCTTTGTTCTCCGTCTCTCACAGCAGAGCTCTTGGGACCTCCTCCCCCAGGGTGGTTTCTCAGGGTGTGGGATGGACCCCCTGCCTTGGACTCACCTGGGAGCTTGTCAAAACTGCAGGTTCTCAGAGATGCTGGCTCAGGGTGTGGGTTAAGGCCCAGGAATCCAAATTTCCCGGGAGTCCCAGATTGTCCTTACTTGTACCAGTGTCTGGTGACCACCTAAGGGCAGCTGAGATCCCAGAGGGTGTTTGGTGGCCTGTCCCCAACCAGTGTTCACTGGCAGGTCAGGTGGCTGGGACCATGACTTAGGCCAGAGGTCAAGTTGGGTTAGTTTAAGGCATGAAGTAACTCCAGATTCACGCCAGTGGGAGCAGGAGTCCAGGAAAGTGAGATAAATTAGTAAAGACCCGGAGCCCAGGCTGACGCAGAGCTGGTGGGGCGGGGGGTGGGTGACAGACGCCAGAGACCTCAGCAGTGAGCTGGGAGCTGGAGCCAGAACAGGTCAGCTTTGCTTCCTGGGGTGGAAGTTTGGGCATCTTCACCTGCTGGCTTCCCCTGTGGGGGGACCCCCATCACTGCCCAGTTCTTCACCCTGTTCCTCCTCCCTGTGATCTCCTTCCCTGGCCTCTCTTTTGTGCCTGTTGGCTCTGAGGGTCGCCTCTCCAACCTCCAGCCAGTGAGTGGTTTCCGCCGAATGCTCAGCAGGCCCACTGCTCATGGCTGGTGTTCCCTCCTCTCTGGTTCTTTGCTGACCCTCGAGATGTTTTGAGTTGACACCATTCTGGGCATTTAACTGAGCTGGTGGCGCCAGACACTTTTAGTAGCTCGCTCCAAAACTATCGTGGCATATTTTATGTACTTTTCATCTGCTTTATTTTTAAACTTATTCAAGTAGTTAAATATTTATATGTCGGACCTAACTACCTCCAAAAATGGTTTTGAAGCTAAGTTTAAGATAACACATGTCAGCATGTAATCCTTTAATAGCCATATTCCAGTGTTTTATCTTTGGACAGAAGTCCTTACAAAAAGTTTTGTCCCTGGTTTCTCTTCCTGGATCTTCGTGTCTGAATTCGGACAAGCATCCCTTGGCATCGTGTGCCTCTGAACACTCTCCCTTGCTGTATGCACATGAGTCACCGCTCCTAATAATTTAAAACATTCGATTTTTTAAAAAGAAGAAGAAAAATATTCTTTAGAACCTAGAACGCATCCATCCTAGAACCGAGGAAATGGCTCTCCTGTTTGCAGTTTGGAATCATTGGCCCTGCTCCTCTCTTGGTTGAATCAGCAAGAATTAACTATGTTAAAATTTAACACTTTAAATGGATAGTTTTTTTGTATGTAAATTATACCTCAATAAAGTTGATCATTTTTAAAAAAGTAAAGTTCTGGCCAAAACATTATCTTAATATTCATCTTGTTGAGCTGCACTGAAGAGGCACAATTTAGAGGAGAAACAGTGAAGGGGTCATGTCCCTCTGGGATTGGTCTGTTTTCAGATGTCTGCCTTTGAAAAGTGTGGCTAGTCATAATTGTATAGGTTCATATATTTGTGTATATATTCATAATTGTACCCTTTTTAAAACATGTTTTTTCCCTTAGAAACTCCTATCTTGACCCATGAAACCTTCAAAGCACTGAAGCCAGGTCTTTCTGCTTATGCTGATGACGTTGAAAAGGTGACAGTTTTCTCTCGTGTCTGTTCATCGCGTTTGTCTTCTGACTGCGGTTGTTGAAGCCAGCTCCGCTTCTCTTGAGTGTAGTAGGGCTGTGTTCACAGAATAGCCTCCGGTGGTGCTGGCCCGGGACACTGCATACTGCTTAGGCCAGTCAGATGAGGAAACTGGTAGAGGACAGAGGCCAAAGGAGGACCATGCCCCCTGCCTGCTCCCCACACACACCCACATCCACACCTACACCCTGGCCACCCTTCCACCAACCAGCACACAGGCCACTCGGTGCAGTTCAAAAGCACAAATGCTACAAACTTACAAAAAGCATTATTTGAAAATTTAATTTTTTTGTGTTTTAGTTCCTCTGACTGAAGATGACTAACGTAGACTAAAACAAAAAATTAATTGTATTATGCAAAATCCACAAAACTGAATAAGTGTAAAAGAAATTTAATTAAACTGTCAAATAATGATTTTTGTAAGTTTGTAGCATTTTTGCTTCTAAAGTCCTTAAAGCTTACAACTGTGTGAGTGCAGACACCTGTATTTCTGCTAAGGCACTCCTGAAACTGGTCACTGATACAGCTGAAGTTCCTTTTGGTTAGAGCATGTCTTAAATCAAGAGCTAATATATGATGCTTGCCCACAGACATGTCCTGATCCAAGACAGTGAAGTCACAGCCTTGCTTTCCTGTCACTTAGTTTGAAAACAAATTGAAAACAAAAGTCGAAATTAGTGGTTCTAGAGTGACCATAAGGTTAAACCTGATTAAATTAGATGTCTTTACAGGAAACTCACAGGGTTTTTTAAATCTTCCTTGTTTGAGTAGGCAGCACACATTCAAGTGGGACAAATTTCACCGCTCCCCAGGGCAGACAGCAAAAACTGCCCTTCCACTCCAGTCTCCCCCCGGGTCCCTGGTTTCTTATGTGTCCTTCAAGAGCGAGTTTAGGTGTACATGAGAAGATGGATCTGTGTTCTTCTCCTGTCTTTGTTTACATACACAGTAGGTTGGCATTCACTTGTTATGCACTTTGCTTTTGTCACTGAACGGTATAGCTTGCAGATCATTTACTGTCAGGATGTGAAGAGCTTGCTTGATTTTTCTGGCTGAATGATATTGCAATGTATGCGTGCACGTTGAATTTACGGACTCAGTTCCCTCCTAAAGGACATTTAGATAATGTCCACTCTTTTGCTCTTAACAGTATAAGAAAAGCTGCAGTTTGTCACTTTATATGCACTTCGTAACCCACACGTGCAAAGGCATCTCTCAGATAAATTCTTAGAGTGGGATTTCTGACCAAGAGGGATGTCTGTTTTCCCTGTGGACAGACATTGCCAACTGTCCCCAGGGCATTGTACTTTCTGATAGGCCTAGGTCCTATCAAAGTCCTCTACTAAGGTTGTTCCCCTCCCCATCCCCTCACTGACATAGGCCTTTATCTGACTTTTGGACCTCAGGTATTCTGGCAGATGAAAATGATTCCTCGATGTGGTTATTCATGGGGTCTTAGCGCCATGAGGGAGCCCGGAATTCATTCATGATGTCCAGGGGAGTCACGACTCGTCTGACGTCACCCAGGGAGGTGGCGACGAGGCCGGCTGGGGTGTTGGTTGAGGCGTGGTAGTGTAGTAGGAGCCCCTCTCGTGTGCCTCACCCCATTGTGCTCTGCTGCCGAGGGCGATGCTCTGTGCTTCCCAGGTCCCTGGGCCCCACACCCACCAGCACCACTTGAGTCGCTATTTTCTGCCTATTTGGAAAATTAGAAAAAAATACATTTATAAATTAATAAAACCGGAAGGGTAGGGGGAGCATCTGTAACCCTGTGTGCTGAGCTTTGACAGACCCTTCTTTACTTTTACTACACAGAGCACTCTGGGAATTCAGGAATTACTGGATGTTGCTAAACAAGACATTCCTTTTAACTTCTGGAAGGCCACCCCCTTGGTCCTCAAGGCCACAGCCGGTTTACGCCTGTTACCAGGAGAAAAGGCTCAGAAATTACTGCAAAAGGTGATCTTACCCATTTCCCCCTTGGGAGTGCCTTATGAAAACACTAAATATTCAGCCAGTGTTGGAGCAATCAGACAGGCTACATAGAAGCTTCCTGAAGAGGGAAACACATCAAAATGTTAACAGCATCACCTTTATGTGGAGGGATTGTGGATGAATGATGTTTTCTTCCTCATGACATTTAAAGCTATTCATGTTTATAGAATGAATCTGTTTATAATAAGAACAACTTTGTTTTAAAATACATTGTGCTTTTGAAGGGCTTTCTTCCATCCAAGGACTTGGCACGTGTCAGAGGCTGTGGAGCTGAATTCCTGACATGTCAGCTCAGGCAGGCTAGTTCTCATGGAAAGCACTGTTCTCTCCTGCTCTGATACTCAGATGTAACTATGGAGGAGGCCCTTTAGCCTTCTGCCCAGGTCCAGCTCCCACACTGCCAGAGTGTCCCCAGGCCCTGCACCACCCCTGAGGGGCCCAGGAGCCTGTGTTTAACAGGTACTTGGAGGTTTCTTATCATCAGGCAAGTTAGGGAAACTGTTATAAGCAAAATGGTCCTCCTCGTCCTCTACACTGTTTCTGAAGTATTTAGCTGCTAAGTGATGGATTGCTGCATATCTGTCAAGGTCCCTTTACGTGTCAGGTCGGATTGTGGCCACCAGTGCAGTGGGGTGTCAGATGCACTGACGTTTGTCTGTATCACACTTGCTAAAACATGGAGAAGGCGGTGCACTCAGACGCAGCTGCGCACTGCCATCTCCTCCCTCTGCCGGCCCGCCTCCTGGGAGCAGTGCCCACCAGGCCTTGCGAGGTCCCAGGTCTGAGCTCCACCTCCTAGGGCTTCCTCCCCTTCATCTCCTGTCCTAAAGCTGGGCAGTGTTTTGGGGCCCAGCAGGCTCAGTGCACGCTGAGCTCTTCAAGTCCAGAGTAGCTTAAGATGGGGCTCTCAGGGCAGCAGCCGCCTCCGCTAGCCCCGGGAGTAGATTAAGAAGGAAACCGCTTGCGGGGGATTAGGGAAGCTTGAAACAAGACCTGAGCTCCGTCTTTTGGCAGCACCAGCTGCCACCCTCCGGTGTTTGTTAGCACTGCTGAAAGCACAGCGCGACTGGGGCTGTGAGTGTAGATTCTAAAGGATAAAGACGTGTCTCTCTTTACATTTAGGTGAAAGAAGTGTTTAAGGCATCGCCTTTCTTTGTGGAGGATGACTGTGTGTCCATCATGAACGGAACGGATGAAGGTAAAGTTGCCAGAAGCGCTCTGTGAGGAGGCTGGCCCGGAGAGAGGGCTGTGTGCAGGGCTCTGTCAGACACACGGGTGAACAAGAGCTGAAGTGACGGTCCTATTCCAGTGCACAGTTTAATTATCTCAGAGGATCTGCTTAATGCCCCTATTAGAGACAGATTCTCATCTTGACTGGCTCCAAACCTGGCACAGATGGAGTTTCTGAAAACAAATCATCTTTTCAGTTTGAAGAACATTTAGAAAGAATTGCCAATTGCCACCATTTTTAGAATGTCGCTGTTGTGTTGTTCATTCTAAGAGAGAGACGCTTAATCAAGTTCCTTCCCAGCCCCTGATTTTAAATATGACCTGAAGAGTTTGCATGGGGGAAGGAGGAAGAGGACATTCAGTTCTCTCCCTGTCACTTCCAAAAAGAGGAAGGTGATGATAAAGAATAGGAGCGAGAGATGTGACACTTGGCAGAGTATTCTAGTTTTTTAGTATGGTATCTTCTAGAACAGTCTGCAGAAGCTGCTGGAGGACCTTATGAGTAATGCTCCTTTCTATAGCTGGTCTGAAGGCTGAGAGTAGTGAGGAAGTGGTCACTTGGTGCTCCTGAAATCTGAAAGTAGTCGTTTGAGCGCTGTGTGTCATTTACAGCATCTCAAGTGATTCACCTGCTCTTTCCGACCCTCTCTTGTAGGCGTTGCAGCCTGGATCACCATCAACTTCCTGACAGGTGCCTTGACTTCATAAAGGCTAACAGTGCACAGATGCCGTTCTTGAGAGCGGGGCCTCGTGTCTGCTCTTTAAAATAACCCCTCCGGGTTTCGCAGTGTTGCTGGCCCACAGTGGAGTGTGGGGATGGGCAGGGCTGTACACCCGGCTCATGGGGTGAGCGTCGCGCCTGCAGGTGCGAATGTCGGGGAGGCTGTTTCTCTGCAGTCCTGGGACTTTTCACCAGCGTGGTTCCTGCCCCTCCTGCCACCATCCACCAGGGCCCGTCCTCCATTTCTGAGAGAAGTCATGAGTCAAACCAGCCGTGTCTTCAGATGTGAAGTGTGATGATGGCAGTGCTGATCCCCTTACAGTTGAATTCCTCTGCTGCACGGGGAACAGAAACACCTGTTCTGGGAAACAGGTGGCAAGGAGTAATTTTTCTTAGGTTATGCTCAGTACATGTGGATTTTTGTCACTTTATTGTAATTATTGAAAAGACCAGTGTGTCTGGCTCGTGTATATAAAAGAAAGAAGTTTCCAGCAGATTTAGCCCTTGGAAGATAGAAAACCGCATTAGGCCTCAGGAGTGCGAGGTCAGGGAGGCGTGCCTTGGGGCCTGAGGGAATATGAAAGAGGTCGGTGTCTCTGAGAGGTGAGCGGCAGATACGGCAGGCCCAGCATCTCTGCTGAAGGTCAGTGTCGTCCTGTCACTCTTCACATCAAAGCCATAGCCGGTGGAGCCACCATTCGTGTCCCTTAGACAATAGTGCGTCCTTCCGTGGAGGTTTGTAAACAGCCACAGCTGCTTCTCTGTCTTGTGTTTCTTTCCCCTGGCTTCTAACCTCTTTGCTTTTTCTACTGTTCTCATCTATTTACTGACACAACAGTGCTGTGTTCGTCTTTACTCACTGTGCTCCAGGCAGTTTGAAAACCCCAGGAAGGAGCAGTGTGGGCATGCTGGATTTGGGCGGAGGGTCCACTCAGATCACCTTCCTTCCGAGAGTTGAGGTAACCAGCCCCTGCCGGCCTGCTGCCCCCCGCTCTCCAAGGCCGCCTGCTCCGTGGGGGCTGTCGCAGATCCCCGGGTGGCCGGGAGGCCTGTAGACCTGGTGCCTCTGGCCCCTGCGATCAGTAGTTCTCCTGAGGGCCAGGTTCAGTCACAGTTAATGCTTCTTAGTTTGATTTTAACTCTGCCTGGAAAAAAAATTGTGTTCAGTGGTGATAAATTAGATGATACCAGGAACTCTTTGGGCCAGAGAATGTGAAGTGGGCCTTCCCTCCCCTGAGGGCTTCCAGGAAAGGGGCTGTAGTTAGTCTGACTCACGGAGGAGGGAGAGCTCCCACACTTTTCAGGATAGACGTTCTGAAGGAGTTGAAAATGCTTCCACTTAAGACCAGTGCTTTAAAGACACTACCTTCCTCACCTACCATTTTTTATTATTATTTGAAGTTTTAAATGGAGGAGCACTTAAATTTACTCATGACTGTCTGGGTTGGACCCTATTTGTCAGAATGGGTAAATGTTACTCATAAGAAGGAAAAACATGTTTTTTCGTTTTGGACACTATTTTTCATTGCAAGCTCTTTCACAACACGTGACTCAGTGGAAGGCTAATTTAATTGAACACATCTATGAAGATCCGTGTTCTTTCAAATGAATTGAGGGAGTAGGGGACAAACAGGAGAGAGAGTAACCCTTGCACTCTCCCCCAGAGCACCCTCCAGACCGCCCCGCCTGGCCACCGGACGTCGCTCCAGATGTTCAACAGAACCTACAAGCTCTATTCCTACAGGTTGGTGTTCAGGAGTGAGCATGGGGAGGGGACAGTCCCCGCGCGGAGCCCAGTGAGCCCTGCAGGCCCCCCCTTGGCTCTGATGCCTGCCTTGTAGAGTGACTGGAGTGTTCAGTCACACACACCAGGTCCCAGAAACCCCTGCTGTGTGCCCCCCTGGACCCTCTTCCTCCCCCACTCCTCCCTTCTCTCCTTCCTCCTCCCTTCTCTCCCTCTTCCTCCTCCTCCTCCTCTTTCCTGCCACCTCCTCCTCTCCCGCCTCCGCCTCCCTTCTCTCGCTCCTCCTCCTCCTCTTCTCTCCCTCCTCCTCCTCCTCTTCTCTCCCTCCTCCTCCTCCTCTTCTCTCCCTCCTCCTCCTCCTCCTCTTCTTCCTCCTCCTCCCTTCTCTCCTTCCTCCTCTCTTCTCCTCCTGCCTTCGTTTTTCAGTTTACCTACAGTAAATTACACTTCTTCTCTTGTGCTCTTTCTGTCCTGCTTTGGAGGAGGCTTTAGAAAAGTGGGGAAGAGCCGTGGTGGTGCAGGAATTTTCTGGGCATCTCTTTGGCACATGGCACCTTCAGTGAATTCTTTCCATAAAGCACATGTGCACCATAAAGATGGGGGTCAAGTCTGTTACGTTTAGCAGTATCCGCAGCTCCCAGACATGCTCCTGTCAAGCCACGGGCCTTCATTTGTTGAACTAAGTAGCTGGATGCCCTAAACTTTACAAAGAGCGGCTTCTAGAAGAAGCAGAAAAGCCTGCCAACTGCCTTGCCACACGTTTCCTCCCTTTCCCACTCATTTTGGACGCAGACCAGGTGGATGTACTGGATGTGGAGTGGAGGACGGCACCCAGCGCTTCCCGTGGCGTGCCAGCCACTAACCCAGGACTTTCTCTCCACAGCTACCTGGGGCTCGGATTGATGTCTGCGCGGCTGGCGATTCTGGGCGGCATGGAGGGGACCCCTGGTGAGTGAGGTGGTGTCCAGGGCCCTCCTTGCTCAGCAGGCCTGACAAGTCCTTCTTCTGCCCCTCCCTGCCCCTCCACTGTCACAGCAGCCGCTGGCCCTGGCCTGCCCAACGTGCCAGGAGGACTTGAGACCCAGGAGGGACGTGTGTAGAAGGGTGGGCCCCACACCTCATCGGGGGGCACGTGATGGTGACAAAGGGTGAGGTGTTTTACCTGTGTACATTCTAAGTTATCGTCAAAAGGAAAGAAGTGCTAGTGAAGCCGTTTCTGAAGCACTGAGCTGGGGGATTTCAGGAACCTGAGTGACTGTGCAGTCATCACCTGCATTTGGAGTTGAGTTGTTTTTAAGGATTTGAAGAGAGAACCTTCTTCTTCAGGACGGTCCAGGAAGGGGCTGTGAGGAGGTGATTCTGGGGCGGTTCTGGGGATGTGCTCTCATTCACAGTGATTCTAGCCTTGTGAGCACCTCCCGCCATTTTCTCTTGCTCTATGAAGGGTCATAGAACACGGGCTTGGCCCTTCCTCCAGGCCTGGTGTTTGATTGGCGATGGAGCCTGTGTCTGGTGAGGTTATTAAAGGTGTGTCTACTCCCACGCCTTCTCTGCTCCTTCCTGACGGGCCGGGCTGAGGGAAGCCTGGCACTGGCTGCAGTGCACATGAACTCTTAGGAGATCTTAGGGCATCACCACATCCCGATTCAAGTGTAAGGGACTCTGCTCTGAGGCTGGCATTGGGCAGTCTTTCCAGTGGCATTGATTGGGGCCCAAAGGCCTTGTCCTGTGCCTCTGGTCCAGATGTGCACGTGTTTTTTCCAGCCACGTGCCCTTCCCTCGGCTCTGCTCTCGGTGCCCCCTCTCCTCCCCTGGCCCAGCACTTCTGCCCACCTCCTCCAAGGGCCTGGTTGTTCTGACAGGGTGTGAATGTTCAACTGGAATTTTTGTTTGTCCATATACATCCGATTTCCATTTTTCTTTCAAATCCTGGTGTCCCCTTTGTTGCAAACCAAACGTACCCACATCTCGGAAACTCCTGCAACCCTCACTCTGCGGCCAAAAAACACCTATTTAGCCAGTGAGAAGAAGGCAGGCACCTGTTTGCCTGTCCATGGCTAGACTGAAAGTGCCCAACTGGGACACGTGGGGCTGTGATGCCTGCCAAGAGGGATGTGGACCACTCCCTGCCCTGGAGGAGCCACCTCCCTGAGGCATCGTCTGTTGTTGCATGGCAGATCGCCCACCGAACTCAGTGGTTGGAAACAGCGAACAGCAGTTATTTAATATTGTATCTCGTGATTCCACAGGCTTCATCTGGGTGATGCCTCTTCTGGAGTCCCTGGGGTCTCGTGTGGTGGGGTGGGGTGGCTGGGCTAGGTGTCCATGCCTCGGCGCTCCTCCACGTGGCCTCTCCCCACAGCAGAGCAGCCAGCACTTCTCCCTGGTAACTCAGAGGAAGAGAGACTGCTCGAAGTCACATGACGTCATGTCCTGCACATTCCTTCAGTGAAAGCAGGCCTGGGCCAGAGTCAAGGGCAGGGACAGGGACCCCCTTCTCAGTGGGAGAAGCTGACCCACTTCTCAGCATGCATGTCCTCGAGGGGTGGCATCATGGGGCCAGAGCAGCACAGATTCGTGGTGTGGGGGTACTTGGTGGCATCGCCCTGGCCCTGCCAGCTTACTCGCAGCCTCAGTCTGTAAAATTGGGTGGTGATGCCTCCCCTCCTATTAGGATCGTTGTGACAGTGGACTGAACAGTGCTTGGCCTGGTGCCTGGGACCCTGAAGGCCCTCAGTGAGCTGGGAGGGACCATGTTTCCAGGCAGATGGGGCTTTGCTGCAGCTTCTGTGACAGAGAAAGGCCTTGCCCCCCCAACTGACCTGGAACACTTCCACGAATCAGGTTTCATCTGGCAAAAAGGAAGCGTGTTCCCTTGACCCTCCAATGCCTTTGTTACCAGCCTAAAATAGTTTCTGCTTCAGGCCTCCTCTCAGCAGAATCCAGGTCTCTCAGCTCCATGCATGCCAGTCTTACCGTGGTCATGTGCCTTTCTTTTCTTTTCTCTTTTTATCTTTTTATTTCAGCTGAGGATGGAAAGGAGTTGGTCAGCCCTTGCCTGTCTCCTGGTTTCAGAGGAGAGTGGGAACATGCTGAAATAACATACAGGATCTCAGGACAGAAGGCAGGTATGGTGGATTTATAAGGGTTAAGAATGACAGCCTGCCGCCCCTACCCCGTACCTTCCAGACACCTCTGAGAAGCAGGGAAACTGCTGCCAAACCTCTTTCACAGACAAGCCTTACTTGGCCGCAGAATGGAAGCTGCCCAGTGAGTGTCGTCAGGGCTCCAGGGGGCCCTTGCCAGCGCGCTGGGAACCACTGACTCCTGCAGGATCTCTGCACAAGGCTTCCTTGTCCGTCGCCAAAAGCTTTCTTCCAAAGAGCCCAATGTCCTAACAAGCCTCCAGTGAGGAGGGGCCTGAACGTCTCTCGGCTCTGAGACAAACAGCCCCATCCAGGCTGTTGGCCAGCAGCTCTGTGAGTGCGTCCCTGGGTAGAGGGAGAAATGGCTTCCCCTTGGGCAGAGTCAGCTTCCCTGTCAACTGGGAAGGACAGCAGAGGCTGCTCTCCTTGACAGTGGGTATAGTGTCCAGCCTGCCTGGCCCCTCTCACCCCACATGGGTTTTGTTGGTCTGTGCTCTTTTAGTTTCTTCTAAAAGAAATATTGGCATGTTTCCAGGCTGGACACAGGAGCATGAGGTTTGTCTGCTTTTGGTGACAAAGCTGTCTCTACTCACAACACTTCTGACACCAAATGTGTGGGTATTCCCCTACACCAGCCAGTTCTCCAAACACCAGCAGTTCTGTTCTGACACTGACTGCCTGGGGTTAGCACAGACCCCAGGGGTTAAGGGCTCAGCCCCACAAGACTGTCCCTCACTTCAGGTGCCGATAGCAAGTCCTGGGCCACCTTCTGGCTAACTGGCTACAAATAGGGAGTTCCCATGACCCCCGCCTCAGATAATTTGCTAGAACAGCTCACAGAACTCAGGGAAACAATTTACTTAGACGGTTACCGGTTTATGATAAAGGATACAACTTAAGAATAGCCAAATGGAAGAGACGCACAGGACAAGGTGTGGAAGAAGGGGCACGGAACTTCCATGCTCTCTCTGGGCACACCACCTCCCGGCATCTCTCTGTGTTCAACAACCCGGAAGCTCTCTGAATCCCATCGATTAAGGGGTTTTATGGAGGTTCATTTTGTAGGCATGATTAATTAAATCATTGGCCATTGGTGATTAGCTCAATCTCCAGCCCCTCTCCACTCTTGGGAGGTTCGAGGACTGGGCTGAGTTCCAACACTCTTAACACAAGGTTGATTCCTCTGACAACCAGCCCCTATCCTGAAGTCATCAAGGGACCCAGGAAGAGTCACCCCATGAGCATAAACTCAAGTATGCTTATTATATTATTATAAAGAAGCTGGTTATGAATAACAGAAGATGACCCTTTCGCCTTTATCACTCAGGAAATTCCAAGGATTTTAGAAGCTCTGTGTCAGGAGCCAGGAACAAAGACCAAATATGTGTTACTTATTATCCATGACTGTGCAGGGCACTGTGACTCGGTCACCGACTTGTTCACATGCCATGTGCTAGGCCCTGCTGCAGGCACTGGGCACACAGCAGTGCACAGTGCAGACAAGATCCGCACCTACGTGGAGCTGACATTCTGGTGGAAGGGGTCAGGCAGTAAAACACACGAGAAAGTGCTTTGAAGAAAAATAAAAGGGAAGGGGGGGGAAAGGGGGTGTTGAGGGGGAGATTGCAGTTTTAAATAGGATGGCCAAGGAAGGCCTCGTGGGGTGATATTTGAGCCAAGACATGAAGAGATGTGGAATGAGCCACTCAGATCTAAAGCAGCAGTTCTCTAAACCGCGAGAGCAGCACGTGCAAAGGCCCTGAGGCAGTTGCTGTGTTTAAGGAACTAGGAGGAAGTAGTGTCCCTCCCTGACAAGGGACAGGGGAGGGAAATGAGATCCGAAGGGCAGGGCGTGGCTCTGAGCCATGGTGAGACCTGGTTGGAGCTCCTGGCAGACGGCGGGGAGGTCTAGGATAAGATGGGAAGCTGGATCCAGGCTGTGGGACATCCATGTCCATTACCCTCCAGTGCCTGTGTTGTTCTCCTTCCAAGCAAGGAGTTAACGACCTGCTCTGTGAGCTTGGGAAGCTGCCCATTAGGCCTCAGTTTCCTCATGTGTGACACAAGGAGGGCCCTGGCCCCACCTCCAAGGTGGCTCGTGAGATAGAGCAAGACACAGCACGTGCAGAGGGCGAGTGCGGGCCACACAGTGCAGACGAGCCACTGGGCTGCGGCAGGACGGCTGCGTGGGCCTGGCTGGGGCTGGTGTCGCTCCGGCTCAGGGGTTCTCTCCCTGGACCTGGGCTAGCAGTGCCGTGGCTCCCGAAAGGTTGCTGGTGACTTGCACTGGGCAGCCTCTCGACTTGGGGTGGGGTCTGTGCAGGCTTCCAGTCCCACCTCACCCTCTGGGTCAGGGTCTTGAGTCACTGGGAAAGGGCCCCAGGGGCTGCCTGGCCCGGTGTTCGGAGCCCACTGACCACTGGCTCTGTGCTATTCTTCTGCCCAGCAGTGAACCTCCACGAGCTGTGCGCCAGCAGAGTGTCAGAAATCCTTCGAAGTCAAGTGCACAGGACATCAGAAGTGAAGGGTGTGGATTTCTATGCTTTTTCCTACTACTACGACCTTGCAGCAAACGTTGGCCTCATAGGTAAGGGTGGGACCCAGCTGGGCTGTGCCGGGACCGCCAGTCTGGTCCCCCGGGCAGGGGGCCTGTGGCAGGAGTAACTGTGTTGTCAGTCACCCTGATGGTGAGAGAAGTAGACTTAGAAGGGCAGGTGTCTTGTCATCTGAATAGGAAGTAGTAAGACCTCTTTTCCTAAGTAAATCAGTTCTTTGAGCCACTTAGTGAAGTTGCGTTGTCATTGCAGGAACAGTCACTTGCTGTAGACTTACTCTGCTCTGAGGCAGAGCTGGGTTAGCTTTGGAACTCGAAGACCCTCAGCCGAGTCTCTGGCTGAGGGAGCCGTTTGTGACGCAGCCACATGGCCGGCATGGGGAGGGGTCTGCCCTCCCCACACATCTCCCTCAGGAGCTTACGGAGCCTCACTCGGACTCCTTCATGGCACACGAGTGTGGTCATGGCAGAAGCTGGTGTTAGGAGTTTGCCAAAGCTGGTGGTGGTCCAACTCAGGGTGGGAACTCTGGAGAGCGTTGTGAAGTCACTTTAGTGGGTTGTGACCAGAATTTTTATTTATTTATTTTTTTTTGTGGGGAGGATCAGCCCTAACCTAACATCCAACGCCAATCCTCCTCTTTTTGCTGAGGAAGACTGGCCCTGGGCTAACATCCGTGCCCATTTTCCTCCACTTTATATGGGACGCCGCCACAGCATGGCTTGATGAGATGAGCCCCGGGATCCGAACCCATGAACCCCGGGCTACTGTAGCAGAGTGCGTGCACTTAACTGCTACGCCACCGGGTGGGCACCCCAGAATTTTTTTTAATGAAATAGATTGAGAATATCAAAATACATTGCCTGTAGTAAGGATAAGAACATTAATGTAAATAAAAAGCCACCCAGAAGAAACCGATGATGTTAGAATCTGTCTGGCCCCTGGGACCCGGGAGCCTCCTGCAGTATCTCCAAGCTCATTGAGCGCCCCACTGCCTGGGCCCAGTGTGGAAGGCAGCCAGTGGAAGGTGACCTCTCTCACTCCTCTCTGTGGCACAGAACGAGATCCCTGGCATGCCCCAGCAGCTGTCCTCGTGGCTCCGTGTCCTGTGCCCTGTGGGCTTCCCGTAGCTGAAGCAAGGGGGAGCGCGTCCACGTTCTCCTGACTGTGCCCCTGCCTGTGGAGATCGCGGTGCCCAGAGTCCACCACACCCCAGCTTGGCCTGGCAGCCTGCTGGGGCCCTGCCCTGTCAGGTTGGCTGTGCAGAGCCCCACCCCAGGATCACCTCATCAATTTGGGGTCCCTCACTCTGGCTGCAAGCTACCCTTTCCCTAGGGGACTGACGTCTTCCCGAGGTGACCTCGGGAGATGCTTGGCTGTTCAGAGAGGCTGTCTGACTCCCCTCTTGGTCACACACGGCTCTGAAGGAGTGGCTGGGTCTGTTTTCAGAAATGGAATCCACCCTCAGCGGTGACTGCCTTAGCAGACGCCGAAGGTCAAGGAAAAGTCAGGAGGAGGTTTCCTTCATCAGAACATTGAGTAGGTGCCTTATACCAAACAAACGTGTGGACACCTCAGGGACCCTCTATCAAACGTATAGGTTTTGGGGAGCGTTGAAGAAACAGTTGTCATCTTTGAGAACTGGGGACACAGCTCTTTGTGCCTTCCTCCCTGGGAATGGCAGGGGCCTGGGGCCACTCCCTTCTAGAGAACCTCATAAAGGCTCTGCACATTTGTTCTAAGACCTAACAAACCACTCCTTTTTTTTTTTTTTTTTTACGGAATTTTTTTTCACACTCAGGAAATGGATACCAGAATGCCATTGTTGAGCTCAGGGCCACAGCTTCAGGAAACAGTTCTAATTCTGTGTTTTTTATTTTTTTTTTAACTTAAAATTAAGAGTTTGCTCAATCTTTGGGGTCCAGGGATCCTGATGAGCTTCCTCTGGGGGACCCTCTAAGGCCCCTGACCATGCTGACCGACCCCATAAGGTCCTGTGTGGAGCACCTGCCCATCCCAAACCGTGTCACCTCAGGAGCCATGGTCAGTGCGTGTGGGGCCGCTGCCCTGCTTACAGCCAGGCTTGCAGCCAGCCAGGACGTAGCCCTGCCTCTGCCTCTCCGGGCTCCCCAGGTGCCAGCTTTGGAGCCGCAGTGGCATTGCAGCTCCTGCGAGGCTGGTGCAGATGGGGCACTTGGTCTCGTCCCACAGATGCAGAGAAGGGAGGCAGCCTCATCGTCGGAGACTTTGAGATTGCAGCCAAGTACGGTGAGTGGTGGCTGCACTGCCCAGGTGAGGAGGGCCAGGGTAGAGATGGGGGCGCTGCCCCAGCACGTGGCAGGCTTGCTGCGGTGCTCGCGAGGCAGGCAGTGGCATCGAGTTCTCGGGTTTGGTTCCTGGTTCTGTCAACCAGACGAGAGTTCAGAGGTGTGAGAATGTGGAGTTCAGAGTGTACGCAGGGTTGCCATGCTGGGCCCTGACCACAGGTCCACTGCATCCTAAGTGGGCACAGGTTGGGGGGTCTCTGTCCCCAGCAGTGAGGGCCTATTCCCAGTCCCAGGGTTGCGAGGAACGGACTCCCTTGATTTCACTTTTCACTTCGACTCAGGTAACCGTAAGAGTGATTTCCCCTGAAAATTTTCCAGCAGAGTCACAATTGTTACACAAACCCGAAGAAGCTGGGAACCCCTGCACAGCAGAGTCTGGCATGCAGGGAGTGAAGAGCTGCACCCTGGGGTGTTGCAAGAAGTTGACCCAGCAGCCCTGGGCCACCCTTGCCCGTCTCCCTTCCCCTTCCTCCTCGTCCCTTTCCCACTCGCCCCAGCCGCCTGGATGTGAAGTGAAGGCTTGTCGTAAATATTCTGCTCTTTTGGTTGCCAGTCCCAATTGCAGATCAAGAGTTAAACTTTGTGTGTTTCCCCATAGAAAATCCTCTCTCCCCCCTCACAAAAGTGGCTTTTTTTAAGCTTTCTTGTCACTTCTGAGCTTATCCTGGGGACACTGGGTGTCTATGACTCTTCAACAGGAAAAAGTTCAGAGCAGAATTCTGGGAAGGCTGTTGGTGGGTTTGCCCATCCCCCTTGAGAACAAGAGTGGATTGTTCTGAGCCAGCTTCGTTGGTGTTTTCATTGCCCAGAAAACCCAGGTCTGCATCTGGGAGAGGTGTCTAGGATCATGGATGCAGAGATGTGGCCCATGAGACTGTGGCTTTCTGCAAGTGGCACTAGCATATGACGTTCAAGTCCCTCTTTCGAGCCCGGTGGAGACTGGGTTGGCCTCGAGCCCCTGCCTCCTGTTGTGCTCTTGGCGGATCGCCTTCCCACTCTGAGCTGTAATCTCGTCTAAATCAAGAGCGAGGACCTGGGGCTGGCCCAGTGGTAGCGGGTGGGGGCTGGAGTGGGTGGAGCAGGGTCTGCACATACCCTCCCCACCCCAGGGAGTGAACCACCTGGAACCTGATGGAAGCTGGTCGTCTTGCCCACAGTGTGCCGGACGGCGCAGACCCAGCCACAGAGCAACCCCTTCCTGTGCATGGATCTCACCTACGTCAGCTTGCTGCTCCAAGAATTCGGCTTCCCAGGAAACAAGGTTCTGAAGGTAAAGACTCACTTCTTGGGGGCCCTCGCGCCCTTTATGGTGTGTGAGGCCGGATGGCTGCTTCCGGCCTCCCAAGCAGGCCTGCCTTTCACATGTGCGCGGTGGTCCCCTCTGCCCCTCCCTTTATCTTTTCAAGCTGACTCGGAAAATCGACAATGTTGAGACCAGCTGGGCTCTGGGGGCCATTTTTCATTACATCGACTCCCTGAACAGACGGAAGAGTCCGGTCTCCTAGCAGCCGAGCTGCCCTGGCGGTCCTTACAGAAGCGGTTTCATCTCCATAACAGACCCCTTTGGGGTCCCTGGACGTGTTAGGAGGAGGCCACAGTTGGGCTGCAACCTCCCTCCCCTCGGCCCTGCAGACCTGCCCTGGATGGGCAGAGGGCTGGAGCACGGCCCAGGCCCAGTACCGCCTCCTACGTGTTGGCTCCAGGTGGGCAGTGAACCAGACAGGGCAGAGGGCACACGCAAGGCCCGGGCAGCGCGGGCCCGCTGTCCCCCGCTGTCACTGTCTACAGTGTTGAGGCGTCCGTGACAGGCGTCCCTGTGACGGGCACCTTGTTTTGTCTCCCTGCTCCTGTCTCCCCCGCCCCCACGGCAGCCCTCCACCTTCTCCCCTAGAATCAGTCAGGAGGTTGCCCAGGCTGTTGTGGCTGCTCTCAGGGTGGGCCGAGTGGGAACCACTGCACCTTCTGGGAGGGGGTTGGGCGGGACACTGAACTCTGGACTTGAGCCTGTTTGTCTCTTCCTTGGGTGTGGATATGCGAAGTCATCCAGAGGCCTGTTTCCTCAGTCCTGGGTGGCTCAGGCTAACTGTTGGCGTGGACACTAGGACTAGGAAGAGGGGCCAGGGAAAATACCTCTCTGTGGCCTTTGTGTGCCCTGGCTCTTCAAAGAAAGTCTAAACATGAGCTGAACTGCTGTTAACTGTTGGTGGCTGTGCTGCATGAGTGACGTCTCTGTGTGGTGCTGAGTGTTTGCGTCGAGCTGTGTTCTGAGCCCCATTTAATGTATCGCTGCCTTGAGGAGTTGACAACCAAGCAGTGTCAGAAGACACAGCCCCCCGCAGGTCAGCCAGGCCCTGGAACTGCCATCTCGTGGCTCCACTGGTGGTAGGGCCACAGCTTGTCCGCTGGGGGCTCCACAGGACACCGACTCAACCCTCTTGCCTCAGCGGTGCAAGCTCTGGCAGACGGGGCCGTGCGCTAGGCTCAGGTACACTCGGCTCAGGTACGCTGGGCTCAGGTTCAGATCCCGGGTCCACAGTCGTTCCTGCCGAAATTGTATGGTACACAGAATAAACTGAACCTCATGTGTTCCACTCATAGTAAAGGGTTTACCAGAGTGTCTGCCGTCGGTGATTCCTCTCAGTGAGCAGCAGCACTCGCCTACCCCAGCACCAGCAGGGAAGTACCTGAGGTCCCTGGGCACCAAAATTTAAACAAAAAACTACGCAAGTGGGGTGACAGAGGTGCTGGCACTATTAAGTCTTGTCAGTGTGTCTGAAGCAGACATACTCGTGAGGAGACAACAGCAGGAGGGCACACAGGGTCTGCCCCTGGCCCTCTGGCATCCCCCACTGGTAACTGGCTTGTGGAGGCCCAGGCTGCTGTAGGCATCTAGTCGGGGAGCCACACACCTTCCCAGTGGTCTGTCAGAGCTCCCTGTCCTCCCTGGGGCTGTGAGCAGCAGCACATTCCAGGGAAGGCATGGTGCTCTCGAGCAAGCACTGAGCCCAGGTTGCAGTGTGTTCAGCCAAGATCTGGCTTTAATCTGGGACAGTTGGGAAGGGGTAGCATGCCAGACAAAACTGGGCAGACCCTTGCCACAAGGACTCTGGGCTCACAGCCTCCACGCGTATCTCAGGACTGATAGAAGGGAGCACGGGGTCTGGCCCCTCGACTTCCCAGGGCCGCGATGGGACCAGAGCAGACTGACTGCTGGATATGCCCTCGTAATGGAGGCTTATGGGGAGAGAAGAGGACTCTGCAGAAAAAAGTAAGAGGCGGATTTTACTCCTCACCTCTCAGAGCCTTAACCTCCCTGTGGGGGAGGCAGGAGAGAGATCCAAATGTAAAACCTTCGATGTTTGAGAAAGTGCTGTGCCAGCAAAATGTTCAAACAGAGGAGGGCTTCCACCCTTTTCTGTGTGTCCCCAGCTGGTCTGAGTGAGGTGACCGTTACAACCCCAGCTCCAGGAGGCAAACCATGGACAGAACTGGAGCCAGCTCTCCTCTGCCCAGTGGTTTCCCCAAAACATAAACCTTGGGGCAGAGGCCTGGAGACCTGCGTGTGACACAGCAGGAAAAGGCAAAGCAGGAAGGATGCTTCCTCCAAAGAAGAAGCCACATTAGGACTAAAGCTAGGAGGCTTCCACTGGACAAGGGCACGAAAGCCCAGCTTCTCCCACACACCTCACCACCCTCCTTGGTCTCCCAGCCCCTCTCCTTCCATAATATCTGACAGTCTAAATATTTAAAGAACTCCGGAGGCAAGGAATCAAAGATGCATGAAGGTAAAAGTGAAGATGGATTTGGTCCCTTTATAGGTCAGTGATCTCACATCTGAAAAAGTGTAAACAACTGGAAGTTTCCCAAAAGATTGCCAAATAAGTCATGGAATATTTTGAGCCCAGCAAAATATGCAAGTCATTTCACTCTGAGTGTCTTTTGTGATAATCAAGTAGGGTTCTTGTTTTTTCAAAAATAGCTACATATGCACATCCCAACATGTAAAAGATGCAAACTTGGGACACATTGAGAATTTTGTTCCCTCCCATGTGTCCCACCTCACAGAGGACATGGTTGTCTATGTGCTCATCTTCCTGACACACCCCACACACTACCTCCTGCCCACATGTCCCACACCATCCTGTTCCTTCTTGGTGCACACCGAGCTGCCTTGGTCCTGCAGTGGCTGCTGGCATTCCCATGTCTGGATGATGGGACCCACAGCCCCCCCATCAAGTGGTTCCTGGGCCCACATCCACGTGCATGAACCATCCTGACACTGCCGCATCCAAGGGCAGGGACGTTGTTTTGTTTTAGAGTGCTGCTTAGAAGCATATGTTAATAGGGAATTTAAAATCTGTGTTAAATTGCAGCCTAAATTGAATGATGATAGAGAAGAATGCAGCGATAGAAATTAGAAAATAATGGAATTAAACTGATTCTTACTCTCTAACATGAAATGAAATGTACTCTCTGATATTCAGGAGAGTTCAGCTTGCTTCCCCTTCATCTTCGCAGGGATGGATCATTAAGCATCTTGAGAAAATAGAAAAAGTGCCAATGAGCTCTCTATCTTAGGTTGAGTTGCTGAGGCGTCCCAGTGGGAGACCTTGTCTTGACTTCTGGGGTTAGGTTCTGAGAAGTTGTTGTGTGGCCTAGGGCATCTATGTTTCCCTGCCCTAATGAAGAGCGAGGATGAAGTCTCAACAATGAGATAATGAAGCGGTCAAAATGGCAGCCTTGCCAGTCCAGAGAACCACGATTGCTCTAGGCAGGTGGAGGTAATGAAAAACCTGTGGAGCTAGGGGCCCTTGTGGGAGTTAAGAACCCTTTTAAAAGGCTACACTTTTTCCGGAAAACAAAGTGTTGAGACTGCCAGAAGAGTTTAGGGAAGGAATTCACTTGAAACACTCCCAACGGTTTACTTGCTGTTCTTACCCAACCTCAGAACAGAAACAAATTCACCCAGTGAAGACGTGAGATCACATCTTGAAGTCTCAGTGACTTTTTTTAAATTGTATAATTGACGTGCAACGTTATATTAGTTTCAGGTGTACAACATAATGACTCAATATTTGTATACATTGCGAAACGATCACCACAATAAGTCTAGTTACCATCCATACATAGGTACAAATTTTTTGTGTGTGATGAGGAGTTTTAAGATCTACTCTCTTAGCAACTTTCAAATAGGCAATACAGTATTGTCAACTATAGTCACCATGCTGTACATTATATCCTCATGACTTATTTATTTTATAACTGGAAGTTTGTACCTTTTGACCATCTTCACCCATTTTTGCCCACCCCCATTCGCCTGCCTCCAGCAACCATCAATGTGTTCTCTGTATCTGTGAGCTTGGTTTTTTGTTTGTTTTGCTTTTTAGATTCCACATATAAGTGAGATCATATGGTATTTGTATTTCTCTAACTTATTTCACTTAGCGTGATGCACTCAAGGTCCATCCGTGTTGTTGCAGATGGCAAGACTCCATTCTTTTTTATGGCTGAGTTGTATTCCATTGTATATATACCTCATCATCTTTATCAGTTTATCCATCAACAGACACTTAGGTTTGTATTTTGGCTGTTGTAAATAGTGCTGCAATGAGAGAGGGGTGTGTATATCTTTTTGAATTAGTGTTTTCAATTTCTTTGGATAAATACCCAAGTGGAATTTGCTGGATCATATGGTAGTTCTATTTTAAACTTTTTGAGGAACTTGCATACTGTTTTCCATAGTGGTTGCACCAGTTTACATTCCCACCGTCAGTGCACATCCCTTTCTCCACATCCTTGCCAACATTGGTATTTCTTGTCTTTTTGATAATAGCCATCCTAACAGGTGTGAAATGACATCTCATTGTGGTCTTGATTTGATCACTAATCTGATGATTAGTGATGTTGAGCATCTTTTCATGTACCTGTTGACCATCTGTATGTCTTCTTTGAAAAAATGTGTATTCAGATCCTCTGCCCATTTTTTAAATCAGAGTGTTAGTTTTTTTGCTATTGAGTTATATGAGTTCTTTATATATTTTAGATATTAACTCCTTATCAGATATCTGATTTGCAAATGTTTTCTCCCATTCAGTAGGTTGCCTTTTCATTTTGTTGATGATTTCTTTTGCTGTCCAGAAGCTTTTGAAAGACCTATACACTGAAAACTATAAGACATTGATGAAGGAAATTGAAGAATACACAAATAAATGGAAAGATATTTCATGCTCATGGATTGGAAGAATTAATGTTAAAATGTCCATACTACCCAAAGCAATATACAGTACAATCCCTATCAAAATTCCAATGGCATTTTTCACAGAACTAGAAAAAACAATCCTAAAAATTTGTATGGAACCACAAAAGACACCAAATAGCCAAAACAATCTTCAGAAAGAAGAACAAAGCTAGAGGCATCATGCTCCCTGATTTCAAACTATACCACAAAGCTACAGTAACTAAAACAATATGGTATTGGCATAAAAATAGACACAAGGATCAATGGAACAGAATAGAGAGCCCAGAAATAAACACACATATATGGTCAATTAATTTACGACAAAGGAGGCAAGACTACACGATGGGGAAAGGACAGTACTTCAATAAATGGTGCTGGGAAAACTGGATAGTCACATGGAAAAGAATGAAAGTAGACCACCATCTTACACCATACATAAAAATTAACTGAAAGTGGATTAGAGACTTGAATGCAAGACCTGAAACCATAAAACTCCTAGAAGAAAACAGGCAGTATGCTCCTTGACATTGGTCTTGGCAATGATTTTTTTGGATCTGACTCCGAAAGAAAAGGCAACAAAAGCAAAATTAAATAAGTGGGACTACTTCAAACTAAAAAGCTTCTGCACAGCAAACAAAATCATCAACAAAATGAAAAGGCCACCCTTAGCCTTTTTTCACTCTCATCATGGTCTCCCCTTAGACCTGTGGGCTGAGAGAAGATCCCCTCCCTGGAGGCGGGGTCAGGTCTGCTCCTTCCTGGTGAACCCCTGGGTCCTGCAGGTACTGGGCTCATGGGGAAGGGCCCTCAATTGCCTACTGAATAATGAAAGGTTGCCTAAAAGAAAACAGGAGAATTGAAAACCCTGAGGATAGGGACACTGAGCTTCCCTCCCCACCCCCCACATTTCATTGTGGAGCCATCGATTCTCTTGTTTTCTCAATGAGAGTGCCTGG